TCCGTGTACTTCAGCTTCTCTATCTGTAGCAGGGGACAATCATCTATCTCCTTTGGAAAGCACATTAGGCGTGAAGCATTATCTCTTGAGGCTCTCAGCCCGCCCAGCATCCTCCAGACGAGATCAGACCTGAATTTCTAGTGTGAATAACAAGTAAGATAAAATTATATATACATATCCACATGAAAGAAAAATAAATGTTCAGCTCTTTGTCCAATTTAAAGCAGCAAATAAAGACCCAACTCCTAGTATCTTTTTCCTTTGCCGGTCCCCTTCAACTAGTCCCGTGCTACAGCTGTGAACCACTGGCATTTTGTGTCGATAGTCACTCCTGCCTTCCAGGGAATTCGCACACTTTGCTCACAAGTTAGACCAGATCAGACACTGTCCAAAGATCCCTCTTCTCCACGTGACTTGCTGAACAAGTGTCCTTCTGCCCCCAACACACAGTTGAGGGACAGAGCAAAGTGTAAAAAGCAAAAGCGCCTTCTGGGTGAAGAGGTCGCTACAACAGGAGTAGTTGTAAACACCAGCCGCTAACCCACACGGCCAGCCGGTTGAGAGAGAGGCATTGTGATCACCTTGTGCACACCACAAAGAGAAGCAGAGGGAGGTTCAGGGCCCGATTTCCAGCAGTGCTGGGAACCCACAAGTCAAACTGCAGTCAACAGGAGCTTGGCAGCTGTAGCAGTATCCAACCCAAGGCTGCACAGAGATTCGGGGTGGAGATGAGAGAGAACTCGCTGTTTCCCAAAGCCGCGATCTGAGCGCTGCCGAAACAACGCGCAGCATGTTATTTATAACGTAATCCTTTATCTCTTACAGCAGCCTCTGCGCCCTCAGAGACCAGACTCTCAGGACATCCTAGCCGCCCTAAATAGCAAGCGACCTATTCATCAAGCTCCACTGCTCCTCCTTATCACCTCCACCTCTTCACTCCCACCCTGTCCTGCCAGCCAAGTGTGCCTACTAGGGCCACTCTGACCCAGCAGAGCTGCAGATGTTAACATCAGGCCAACCAGCAGCTCTACCCACTTCCCTCATCCACCCCTCCTGAGGCCAACTCTGTACATTTGCCTCTCTGGCACGGTTCCTGTCTTTCCAAGAAACACGCTCGTTCCCCAAAACTTCCTGAAATGAAGACAGTAACAATCAACCGACAGGGACCAACAAAGACTTGGTCTTGGACCTCTATCCTAAGCCTGTGAGGTCGTAATTAATATACAGTTGAAGTGGCCCACCGCATGTCAAGCAAAGATTGGAATCAGTGAAACGTGATTCCGTTAGGAGTTTCTTTCCTCCTTCAAGATAACTGTGAAGTGGAAAACGCACCTCTGCATAAGCATAACCGGTGTACAGTGGAGCAGAGGGGATCTCCTATCTGCTTAGAGTTACTCAAGTCCGAGGGTTGGTTTCCTTCCTTTGTTTTAGAACATGAATGCCTTTGTTCGCAGGCCAACGCAACGTGTTTCTGCCTCCTGCTGCTTCAGACCCCACGCAGACTAGACTCTCTGAGCTCATGTTGGCATGACTGGACTTCTGGACTTGCTGCAAGGGCACTTCCAGGTAAACATCACTGAAACTGTTTTCAAAATCTACTAAAATACAGCTCGATCCCCAAACCCTTGGGACGAGTCATCAATAGGCCCATGTGAGCAACTAGTCGCTTAAGCAGAGGCATGATCCAAAGCAGTAGGGAGATTGTCACTGTCCTCAATAGGCTCCATAGCAGGCCTGGAGGGTTGCAAAATTAGGCTTTTGCTTGTTTGTTCCTGTTTTGTTAAAAGTTTGCATATGATTTCAATGGAACAATAAACCCAGCACAATCCGTTTGGCATCCAAGTCCTCTGCCAGCTTAGGTTGTGTTGCTTCAACATTCATTGGCTTAAAAAACAAGAAAGCTCTTTCCAGCTGATCGTAGCAGTTGTGGCAAAGGGAACATTTAGTACAGGAGCAGCATAAGGGCAGGCGTAACATGTGAAATTCCCTACGTGGAACATGCACCTCCCTGTTATTTTTAACTTACAAGATTTTTGTTGAGAGAATCTATTTCAAAAGACTCAAATCACATTTGAAATGATCTTATATATTTTTAAGACATTCAAATATCAAAATACTATTTGAAATTTGTTTAACTGCTTTGGGCACAAATAATGGCTCTAACAGTAACTATTTATAACTGAAAAAAATGGAGCATGGCATGAGACATGAGATAGGGTACTTGGTGTCTGAAAGCTTCTCCATATCACCCCCACTTGTACAGTTGATCCAATACAAGTTATCACACCCACAAAAAATCCCAGAGCAAGACTATTTTTTTATTGTTAATATATTTCATGTTCCAGGTCAAATCAGCCACATCAGTTCCAAATGGTATCAATTGAGAAGAACTCCTCATTCAGAAACTGCATGGATTGAGCACGCAGAACTCAACCGTTCGAAACACCATGTGTGGCGCTAAACCGGTGAGCATCCTTCATCCCAGGCTCTCACCCTGGGACTTCAGAGACTCCCAAATCCATCGGCAGGCATCCTGTATGCAGGCCCAAGCCCCGAGATCTTGGGATTTGGATACCCCCACTTGATGTTAGCTAAGAGGCCGAGAAGCAAAACTATTTCTCCAGTTTCTTCACTGTGTGCATTTGACAGTGTAGTGACGGTTTCCCTTGGGGCTTATCTGGATCTTTCACACAACACCAAGGGAGACTACAAATATTTTGTTGAATGGGGAAAGACGTGCATAAAAGCCACAAAAATCAGCCAGGGGACTGGAGTCTCTCAAGCCACTTTGAGTCTGACCTGACTAACCTGAAGTTACCAACATCAGGAGGACTTGGTGGGATTCCACTTTGAACATTACAGCTGACGGCTTGTGTAATACTTTCAAGATTGTACAATGTAAATTGTGTGTAACCATCCATTACCAACAGCACCGTGGGGAGATGCTGACTGATGCCATCAGATGCAAAGAGAGGTTTCTGTTACGCCCCACTACATTGCTTTTAAGGCGGCATATTTGACAGCTGTGAAAGGAAAAAAGAAATGCATAGCTACCGTTTTCACCAGGAGCTCACCTGCGCTGGCATTTCCTTTGGCTGCCGCTCCATGTGCTATTTAGAAGATTAAAACCGAGCAGCACCAGTAACCACCCAGGACGGTGCCTTTTTCTTGTATGCATTTATTAATAACCGACTATTATCATGTCGCATAAATGTTTCAGCCGCACTCTATAGGCAAAAACATGATTGAAAAAAACAACTCATGGGAGAAAAGTTTGGTCTTGTAATTAAAGCAAGGAAGTGAGTCACATGTGCTCCCAGCTCTGGATACTGGTGCACGTGTGTTGTGTTGATGTGCCAGTTTGCTGACCCATTAAAAGGGGAGGGGACGGTGATAAACTGGGCCACTGCACTGTGTTTTCGAGACCAAGTTAATTCATATTTATTCTGCGCACTGAAATCATGAGGTAACAGCAAGGCAAAACCCTAATCAAGGGGACAGAAAGGTGCCCGGCTGCCAGGGTTACTCTGTTAAGCACTCCATGCTCTGGTTGCTCTGTCTCCCTCAGGTAGATTTGGTGAAACCAGACCTCTACTCGGGGTGAGATGGCCAAACCTGTTCTCCCTGAGCCTGGAGAAACTTGGCAACCCGGCTTCTGCCAGCCCGAAGATGGGCTGATTCATGCCAAAACGCCCAAACACGCCCGGAGTTGCCGCTCTGCCTGATCTCACCAAGGCGGCAGCGTCCCGGCACCGGGCACTAGCGCTCCTGCACCGGGCGAGGGACACCGCAGCCGGGGCGCAGGGAGCTGCGGGGCAGCGGATGCCCAGGGGGCGAGCACACGCGGGTAGCCCGTGGCGTCTCGCGGCAGTCTCAGCGTTCCGCGGGGCTGTCTGAGCGTTCCGCGGGGCTGTCTCAGCGTTCCGCGGGGCTGTCTGAGCGTTCCGCGGGGCTGTCTCAGCGTTCCATCGGGCTGTCTGAGCGTTCCATCGGGCTGTCTGAGCGTTCCGCGGTGGAACCCTCC